GGATGGGTCGGGGCGCTTGGGACTTCCCCCCCCCTCCCCCCCCCGCCCCCCCTGCGGCTCTGACACACTTGTGGCCTCATCCAACAGGGCTGGCTGCCCACATCGCTGCCCAGGGGCCTGTCACCGTGGGCATCAATGCCAAACTGCTGCAGGTAGGAGTCCCTGTGGACCTGTGTCCCTCTCCCCAGCCTGCCCTGCCCCTGGCTGACCTTACCAAAGCCTGCTTTCCCCCCTGACCTGTGTTTCCTCCCAGTTTTATAAAGAGGGCATCATCACAAAGAATATGGCTTGCAATTGTGACCCACGTGAAATGAACCACGCTGTGTTGCTGGTGGGCTATGGCCTGGGTGAGTTGGGGACAGAGAGATGAGGGCAGGGAGGTGGGATGGCACGAGGGATGATGGTGATGGCAGACACATGTCATAAGAACATCAGAGGTGTCATGGACTGGGTCAGATCACAGGTCCATCTTGCCCAATTTTGTGTATCACACAGTGGCAGAGAGTGGGTGCTGAAACGGAGAGTGAATGGGGTCTGAGCAGTGTATTTCCTCTGTTCCTGTCTCACTTGCAGCCTCCAGCATTGAAGGTCTAGAGATTTCTGATTCAGAGGCCATGCCCCTGTCTCCTGTTCTCAATAGTGACTGATGCCCCTTTTCCCTAAGCATGTGTCCAGTCCTTTGGTGAATCTGGCTAAACTGACCTTCTTGGCCCTGTGCTGTTCAACATCTTTCTCAACAATTTAGATGAGGTTGTGGAGCGTACACTGGTCAAGTTTGTGGATGATACTAAATTATGGGGAAAAGCGGCCATGCTAGGGGATAGGATGCATATCCAAGCAGACCTGGACAAGCTGGAACTGTGGGTGGAGTGGAACCAGATGTAGTTCAATAAAGATAAATGCAAAGTGCTTCATCTGGGGAGAAGTAACCAGTGACATGAATATAGGTTAAGAGGAGATGCCCTGGCCAGCATGATGGCTGAAAGGGACCATGAGGTTATGATTGATCACAGGATGAGCATGAATTACCAGTGTGATGCAGTATTCAACACACCTAATAGCATACTAGGATGCATTAGCCGAAGTGTCACAAGCAGGGCTAGGGAAGTGATACTTCCTCTCTACTCAGTGCTGGTAAGACCTTAGCTGGAGTACTGTGTCCAGTTCTGGGCACCACATTTCAAAAAAGGTGTGGAGAATCTTGAAAGGGTCCAGAGAAGTGCCACAAGAGGACAAGTCTTATGAGAAAAGACTGAGGGATCTAGGACTGTTCAGCCCCGGGAAGAGAAAACTGAGGTGGAATTTGGTGCCTGTCTATAAGTATGTAAGGGATGAATATTGGGAACTGGGAGAAAAATTGTTCACTAGAGCATCACAGGGGAGGACAAGGAACAATGGCCATAAATTGTTAGGAGATGATTTCAGGTTGAATGTAAGGAAGAACTTCTTTATGGTAAGGGTGACCAGAATCTGGAATAGCCTTCCCAAGGAGGTGGTGCAGTCCCCAACCTCAGAAGTCTTCAAGAGGAGACTGGACAGACACCTTGCAGGGATCATTTGATCTCAGTATTCCTGCCTAGAGCAGGGGAGTTGGACTCAATGATCTTTCAAGGTCTCTTCCAGCCCTTAATTTCTATGATTCCTATGGTATTATAAACTCTCAGCTTCCACCACTATGTGGCATACCTGGGGTGCAATAGGGGACTGGAAAGAAGGCTCTATGGTTTGACCCAGCCTGTGGTAGCTCTGATGTTCTTATGTTCTATTAGTATGTACATTTACATCCCACCCTGTGGCTGAGACAGGGCTAGGGGCTGAAAGACAGTAAAGCCCCATGAGGGAGGAAGGGTGGGACTGGGGAGCCCAGGGGGTTGTGATGGAGACAGATGGGCGGCTGACAGAGATGGAGGAAGAGGGTGGGGGTCAGAATTCTCCTAAACCATTCCTTCCCTAATGCTGACCTGTCCCCTGCTATTTCCCTCACTGACTCCAGAGAAGAAGACCCCGTACTGGATTGTGAAGAACTCGTGGGGGCCTGAGTGGGGGGAGGAGGTGAGTTGGAGGGCAAAGGCAAGTCAATGGGGACACCAGGCCCCCCTGGATCAGTGCAGACAGTGGCTGGCTCTGGGGTGGGGTGTTTGGGGGATGGATATACAGCTGCTGGGCCTGGAGTGATGCGTGTTTGGGAGGCTGGTTATTTAGGGTCCCCTTTGCTCAGTGCAGATGGTGCCTAGCTCTAGGGTGGGTTATTGGAGGTTGGTTATATGGGACCCCCTTGCTCACTGTAGATGGCAGCTGGCTCTGGGGTGGGCTGTTTGCGGGACTGGTTATATAAGGCCCCTTTGCTCAGTGCAGATTGCACTTGGCTCTGAGGTGAGGCACGTCAGGGGCTGGTCATTCCAGTATGTGGATGTATGAGAACTGTGTCCAGCCCCTAACTAATTATCCCATTCACACCCCAGGGCTCTTTCCGCATCTACCGTGGAAGCAATGCCTGTGGCATTGCCTCATTGCCCGTCACAGCCACGGTGGCTGAGGATGACTCTGAGGAGGTCCTAATGTCCTGCCCACCCTGACAGGATGGATGGATGGATGGATAGGCTGCATCTCTTTCCTACAGCAATCACGGAGCAAGAAAGATGGGCAGCTGCATGCACAAGACTTGCCGGGGGTATAGACTTTATTAGGCTTTAGGCTGCTTAGTAGTGGAGTATTAGACTCAGGTCCTGTTTGCTTGCTGTTCTCTAGCTAGAGGTAAGATAGGAAGAAGGGGCAACCAGTGATGGAAATGCTTAGGGGAGGAGGTCCTCGAATATAGGACACAACTGGCTCAGCCAGGAGGACGCTGCGGCTTGGTACAAGACCATCTGGTTTGGCAACAGAGACAGTTTTCTACTGTCACCAAAACAGGTCTACTGCCTGGCCTGGTCTGGAATAGACCTGGAAAAGTCCATGTGACTTCCCCATTAGAAGGAGCAATATTATCTTAACACAGAAAGAGCCCATGCACAGTTATGTGGTTACTTGCTTTGTCAGACATCTCTCTTAACTGAGCTTGT